AGTGTGTTCTGATTCTGACAGCTCCCTCAGGAGATGAAACACCACCAACCCCAGCTCAGAAGGAAAAATAAGAAAATGAATCATTACGGTTTATTCGGGGTGCTCAGTAAATGAGGTTTTGAACCTCTCTGGAAAGAGGCAACACGCCAAGCCTTCTCCTTCCCAGCAGCGCTCACAGCACTTTCTGTTCAGCTCCAATGCCCAAAGCTCAGCAGACAGACCCTACAACACCTGGAAGCACAGAAGGGAAGTGCTTTGGAAAAAGCATGGTCAAGGAGACTTAAGCAGCATCACAGGGCTCCCAGGAAGAAGCCATAAAAAGACACTTTAGAAATAACTTTGCCTCTACATACAGTTACTGCCAATCCAATCCAAACCCAGACGAGATCAAGTCCTGCACAAAACACTGTGTGACTGCTTTAAGCCTAGAAATACATGCAAGGAGTGCCATCGAAGCTCACTTTTGGCACTCCCTGACTTCTGAGTGTTCACACTGAGACTGAGTATTCCCCCGTTTAGATCACTGATGACAAAAAACAACATTTAACACGGGTGTTAATTTTTCCCCTAAGAAGGGTTAACTCCTACTAAGCAGCGCGCAATAAAGACAGAACATTTCACCAATAAAACTGAAGTCATTTCTACTCCACACAATAAGCTCAGGAAGCAAAATAAAAATCTATCTGCATAGCATGAGGTCAGTCAAGCTACGGATGGTTATTTAAAATCTAAATATTAAGAACAGATGCTTCTTTTTGGAGGTGTTTAAAGAACCTGGAACCTGCCGGTGCTCAGCGTTTCTCAAGGAATGCTGCAGACCTTCAAACCCACAGCAGCCCATCTCAGCTGGGGCAGGAGGACTGTGCTCCGGACAAGATGAACGTTCTTTCACATTCAATCTTCAATCTTCTCTTATTTACAAGCTAATCCTAACAATGAGGTAATATATCCACAGCCCCATTGGTTTTAGCCTCATAACTCATACATATTCTATACACAATACTAATTAGTTTGTATTATAGCAAAATGTACCTAATAAACAGAAATGTGAAACTATGTCGTATTTCAGGGCTGCTTTTTGATGCTGGCTATACAATAGCCATGTAAAAGAATCTTTAGGAGAAGCACATTACTGTCTGCATACCAACCAGCTGCACCAGAAGGGATGGACTTGAACACCATCCTGGAGACGTGCACTGAGTCCCAGCTGCACAAGGTGTTTCAGCTGCTTCCTGTGACTGCACAAGAACATTTCTCTGTGTACACAAAGCAGCCTGCGGGTGTGCTGGCTGCAGTGTGCCCAGCTCACCAACTCCACGTGCCAGAAAGTCACTGGGATTCCTGGGCTGGCACAGAGGGAAGGGCCAAGCTGAGCCCCTGTTCTAGCCAGCACACCATAGGTGAGCTGCAAACTATCAAAGAGACAACGTATGCTTGAATGTGGGGTTGGTTTTTGCAATTTGGCTGACGAGAAAGTAAATATGTTACATAATCACATTGTAAAACATCACTCTGACAGATAGTTTACTCAAAAAAGAGCTATCTTCACTGCATATTTGCTCTGCATCCAGCAACCCCTTGACCAGTAAAAGGACCAACGATGGCCTTTCCTTTGCAGCTCATCATTTATGAACGTATTTATGTTCTGATGAATTTTCAGTGGGCAGGAAGCAGAAGGATCCATCCTCAATGGCCTGCACCAAAAGGGAAGAAGCACGGTAAAAATGTTGAGCACTATGAATTTTGCAGGCTCCGTCGCTGAGAGCAGTTATGTCCTCATGTGAGCGTGCCACAGTGAAAGGCAACATCTCTATAAGGGTAAAACAAACAGCACTCAGAATTTCTGAAAGCATTCTTCCCGAATTATTGCACTAGATTAGATTGCCTCATCAGCAGGGCCAGAGGACATTTGCACTATTTTCCTGCTTTTTTTTTTTTTTTTCATGTAACAGATGAAAAGAATACAGAAAGTTTTCTGGGGCCAACATTGGAATTAACAATGGGAAAATTCTTTTGCTAATCCCCCCCATCTCTCCCGTTGCTAGCAGGCTCCCAAGGCTGGAAAAACACAATGTCTCCCCGTACCCTGCTTCTCATTGGTGCACCACGCTGTGCTCAGGACGTCGGGATGGACCCACAGCTCAGCTCAGGGCCATAAAACCTCCAGGATGGAGCTCTGGGGAAAATCTGAGTACAGAAGGACATTAGTCTCTAATTAAAACCTGGAAGCCCCTGGTGGGCCTGAGGAGGCCCAGCTCTTCCCAGAGCCCATGGCGCAGAGCAGCCACCCCCATGCCTCTCCTTCAGTGTGGCACAGCCCTGTGCCACGCTTGCCAGCCCACCAGCGAGGGGAAAGCAGACAGCACCGGGCACCCGCCCCCCTCGCAGAGGCATTTCATCATTTTGCAGTCATTTAACAAACACAAAAGAATTTACACGTAGTGACTCGACTCGAGAAGTAAACTTTGCATAATGAATCCGGGCGCCTCCAATGCTGGCTGTGCTCAGAGCATCCGCAGCTGTACAGCAACACCCACTGGCACACGGGGGAAGTGCCCGACGATGGGAGGTCACAGATGGCAGCGGAACAAGGAAGGAAAAGAGCCGCTGCCTGGGAAATAAATGCACTAACCCAGCTCTCTGAATGGTTGCACTAACTACAAGGCATCGACAGCTACTTCTGAAGCCAGCCGTGCTTTACCAGAAGCTGGAGCTCCGAAGGCAGAGCAAGGCACTGAGCGCTTGCAGGAGGTGGCAATGGCCAAAGCAGGTGAGAGCTGTCAGGCTGCTGCTGGGAAACTTGACTCGAATTAAAAGAAGTACTGATGCAGCGCTTAATGAAGATGAACTTCCACTGCCTTCCCCCAGACAGACGATGCCATTATCACTCACCACTAAGAAGGAAAGAGACTGAGCAAGGGGAAATTACAGGGCAGTTACGCTTGTCAGCCTGACAGTGTAATAGCAACACGATGTTGGCAACGCGCCGCAGAGAAGCCTGCAGACAATTAAGCACAGGGCATAAAATAAGGTGGGTAGAGGGAAAGTAGCCCACTGGAAAGTACTGCGAGGGATTTCAGCTTTTCCTGCATGAAGCACACCACCATATCCCCTGCGTCCACACAGAAGGGAAAAATAAGATGAATAATAACTGTGTGAAGACAGAGAAAACCTGGAAGTCCAACTTGCTCGCTAGCAGAGAAGTCAAAGCTCAGCAGTGCGGTGCCTCCCTCTGCACAAGTGGGATGGCTGCCTTCTCCTGTGCTGCTGACATACAGTCAGCGCCTGCGAGGCCAGCAGGTCTCATCCTTTTCATCTCAAGGCAGGGCAGTGAGAAGCACAGGCAGCTCTGCTGTGCCCCCAGCAGCCTTCAGCCACAGCAATCCTCACTTGGGAAAGCTCCTCTTTTGAGAAAAAGTTGCCTGTCGCTCACAAAGAGCTCCTAGGGAAACATTACGAGTTTTGCTCCAGGCTTTGTAAATATCTGCAAGAGAAGAACGTCAAACAAAACTGGCATTATTTGCACTATTTGTAAGAAGGAGGGCCAAACACATTCCCAGTTTCAGAGATGTTTGAAGGCTTTGTTGCTACAAAAAGCTCAGTATGGTCACGCAGTGCTGCAACAGCACAACACACAAAACCTGCAGTCCCAGAAACATAAGGATTTGGGGAACCTCTGGCCCCCAAGAGAGGGAAATGGAACACAGATTCTATATTTCCCTGATGAGAAACCAGGGTTTCACAGAGAATTAGTAAACACACTCATGAGTCCCACCTGTTTTCTATTTAGAGGAAAAAAAGCAATTAATGTGACTTTTTAAACAACTCTTAATAGAAGAAACTCATGAAACAGAGATTTCTAATGGAAAGTGTCTTTACTCAGATGATGCAGAGGATCACAACACGACAGCAGCACCTCGCACAGTTTCTCCCAGCTGTGCAAACCATTTTCTAACGACCTGAAGATGAACAAGGACACATTCTAGTCGTTCCTCATCCCTCCAGAGCACGGATGCACGGCAAGCACGAGAAGGACATTCCATCTCCCACCAGTCAGAACAGAGCTCCCAAGCAGCATTTACGCTGTGCAGTTCCTAGAATGGAACCCCTCACTCTGAGCAGCATGCAGAGGCATAAAGGGAAAAATACCAGCCCAGGAAGAAGTTGATTTCAGCATATCATTTATTAGCAAGTAAAAGGACGTTTACCTTCTCAGTGGTTAAGTACAACACAACCCAAAGATAAACCATATGGCTCAAGTCTTTGTGCAAGGGAGACAACTGGCAGGGCTCCAAGGCTCTAATTGAACTATTACCATATTGTAAGAAAGGAAGAAGTCAGAAAGACTGGAGGATCTGCTCTCCTAGGGACAGCTGATGTCAGGCAGGCAATTCAGGCCGTAACAAAGCATATTTATCAGGAGAGCAATTCCACCATTTGGATACTGGCTCAGTTTAAAGAAAAAAAAGTGCTCTTCTATTTCAATATTGCACTTAATTTGATCCTACATTCAACTCATGAAACCTTCAAAATCCCAATCATTTGTACCAACAATACGCTTCTAGTTTAATTGCTGGCTCAAGGTTTTCCATTTAGTTAATAACTAAAGAAGCAAAGGAGGAATGTCCAAATGAAATCCAGCAACAAATAAAAGATTACCATTAAAAAAAGGGTCATTAGAACAGAACCGCTGAAAAGTGCAGAAGATCCAAGTACAAAATGGTTTTGTACTACATACAATTTCCCATCTTTTCTTTCAAAGGCAGCCTTCATAAAAACATCCCAAGTGTTACACATTTCACACACACCCGGGTTATGCAGTAAGACAAAACACAACAGTGAGCTCGTGAGCAGACAGAACCTGTCAGAGCCGCTGTACAAACCTCTGCAGTGCTGGCTTGTTGATTGTGGGGGAAAAGGAACATATGAAGACTAAAGGAAATCAGACACAATCTTACACAAAAATGAGTGAGATGGGCCCCTGTGGATCTTGCTCTTACCGTTCTGCTCGTCCAGCTCATTCCCAATTTCCTGTCCCATTTGCTTTTGCCGGGATATGATTGAAGAAAGAGCATCAAGGCCGGCGTCTTGCTCTGCACCAAAAAATACATCAGGTTACATGAGGCAAATTGCCAGTGTGCCACATTGTGTGCAGTAAGAGATGCAGAAGCAAAGAGAAAGATCTAGTCTGTGCCTGAAGAGTTAAAACAAACTCAGAAAAGGACATCAACACAACAGGAAAATGAATCCTTATGGCAACAGTACTCCTAAAACAATGTGAATGATGGGTAATTAATTTGTCTGCTCTGGCTGGGACATGAGCTGATGGTCCCAAAAAAACCCAAGAATTCAACCTCCAGCTGTTCCTCAATCATAAATGCAGGAGATTCCTGGCGCACACACAGATCCCTGATTAGCCTTTTTACATTTTCCAAGAAACTTTGAACATGAATACAAGGCAAACAGGTGATGCAAGCACCAAAGAATTCAAATAGATTTTTAAAGCTGCAAGAGGACACGGAGCGCATGGAAGGCAGCCTGCAAGGAGGGGACACTAGCTCTGCAGGCACTCCTCTAGAAAGGCACATGTTGTCTCTGCTACATGCAGGCCCTGCACACCCTCAGCAAGCACCAAACACACACAGCTCTTCTACTTTGTGACACACTCAGCTTCAATAAAACGTGGGCAAAAGGCAATCCCTGAATTACTTGCATCTGACCGTGAGGAAGCCCCGCAAGGTTACCTGGTCACAAATAAGGCATGCTAACTGTTTCAGCGGTTTCTCCTCCCCTGCCACAGGAAAAACCACTTGTTTCAATCAGCGTGGAGATTATTTGGAAAAGCTGCTTTGAGAAGATGTTCCCAGCAAGGAATACTGCAAGCACAACACTGCTCCTGCTCAGGCAGAAGTCACCGCCAGCTACTTGGACTGACAGCCCCAGCTAACAGGGCTTCAGCACAGGTTATTGCACTGACTTTCTCATGAGGACTCATGCCTATAGCACACTGACAGACTCTTCTACCTTCTATGATCCTCCGTTGCTGCTGCCTGATGTCATCGAAGCCAAGCCCCCTGGTTTCCTCAGACTCCTCCAGGAGCCACGGGTTGGTCACTCCTCGTTTGACACCTCCTGCCATTAGGCTAGATCTGAAAATAAGTTCAGGAAACAAGTTTCAAGTTTTAGACATAAAATTCACTCTAATTTGTGCATGCAAGGTTGGCTAGCAGAGATGGACCTGTCTTTATTTGTCACGTTCTACACAGTTCTCTGCAAACGCTGAATAAATGAGCCAGAAAGATTCCAATTTTCCCCAGTAACATTTTGCAAGGTCCATCCCACTGCCTAAAAGCAGAGAAGTGGGGAGAAGATTACTTCACATTGAACAACTAAGCTACCCATGAAACAAACACCATACTTTTGATGCTATATTCAGCATGCAGACCTGTTACAAAGAAAAAGAAAGGTTTGTGTAAATACATACACATGGCATTGCTCTGTGATCAAGACACAAAACACACAGCCCCACTCCTGCATGCCTTGTTTGTGGCAGCAGCCACACGCATTTTGCAAGAAAGAGCCATCAAGTTACAGGTTTCCTTTGACAGGAATTATGACCTGAGGCTGCTCACACAGCAGACACTGCACAGTTTACAACAGGCAGCAAGTTTGCAATGTCCAGGGAACATAAATTCCAGTTATAAAGTGAAATGCCACTGCAATATCTTCTCTCAATACCAGATTTCTGGTTTCCTCCTTTCAGCTCTTCATTGGTTTCTGGTATAAGCATGACCTGACAGCCTGCCCCAAGCTGCAAATCTGCCCTGGGGTCGGAGACACTGAGGAGATGGGTCTTCAACTGCAGCTCGGCTGCAGGAGTTTCTCATTTCCATTTGCCTTTTTCAACTCTATCTTTTATCCCCATTTTATCTTTGCCCTCTTTTTCCCCAAACAACTTTCACAAATAAAATGAGAACCAGGAGCATTTTTGGTACCTCTCAAAAACTCCCTCAAATGTTTTATGAAGCCAAGACCTATTTTTTATTTTTTAATTGACTCCAGGTCCCTCCACTCCAACATAACCTGAAATGCTCTTCAGCACTAACATAAGCCCAGTATTTCGGGTGATGATGCAATAGAATCAATGCAAGCAGTTCTACAACAGGACAACCGAGGATTTAGAGCAAAGGTACTGAAGCAAAGGGCTGAACTTGAGATTGGTGAGGAGCTGCGGTGTGCTGGAGACATCTCCTGGCCATGCAATGAACCAGCAGTGCTGGGAAGGATTCCTCTCCACCACGTGAACTTTGGGCTGCCCTGAATCAGACGCATCTTGCACAGAGCACTGCATGTTCTATGAAGCAGATGGGGCAGTTCTACAGTTCAGCTCTTTGCACCTCCATGAAAATCTCCGTGTATTCATCAAGCTGGTGGATCTGCTTTAATTAAATAAAGCCCTGCAATGCTGTTCTACACATTAACAAGACTTCTTCATTGCTTGGGAGGTTGAGATCCCCTCTTGTATTCCCCAGGCTCACACCAAGCTCACAGCGTACCAGGAGCACGATGCACCTGAAGACAAAGATCATTACAGCAGCTCAATTAGCAAGCACTCAAAACCCAGTGCTTAACAACACCTGACCAAACTACTCGTACAAAGCAAAAGGAACATAAAGCTCCTTGCTTGCCAGGAAGAACACCACTATTTCTGCCTGCTAAAAAAGCCAAGGCAAGCAAATGCAACATAATTTGCACTGTTCCCCCTCTCCCCTGATAATCTGCCCTATTCTTGTAGGCTGGGTCATGACAACAGGTCCCCTCGTTACAATAATCTTTTTGACATGTTTGGTAACTGCCTTCCCACACAGCACAGCCCGACTTCCTCCTTCCTCTGATCTTACCACATTTCGCTTTGGCGGTGTGAAGATTAAAGCTTATCCAATTAGCCACCCACGGCCTCCGCCAAGTTAATCACGTAAATCTTTCAAACCATCACAGAGCAGTGGAGTGTGTGGATAGCTTTTGATTATGGGAGCAGATTTAACTAATTACGAGGCTTAGCGATGTGCCCAAGTATAAAAGATGATGGGGTTTAAAATCGGGGAGCTATGTCCTTGCCTAACAAGGGAGGGCTTATCTTTCTGAAGGCATTGTTTCCCTGATAATTCTCATAAAACTTCCCCAGTAACTTAGATTAGTCACCCAACACTTACTTGAGACCAAGGCCACACATCAAGGCTTACGGCTTTAGGAGAGCGATCAGCAAGACTGCGTTTGGAACAAAACCTGGGTCATATGACAATTAGTTGCATGAGCACTCGGACGTCCCCTTAACGATACGGTTATACAGTAGGTCCTTTGAAGTGCTCACAGCACCTCAGCTTAGCTCCACAGGTCAACCTCTGTGGCGATGGCCAAAACCAGGGCATTCTCTCACTTACGGTTTAATTGCTCACAGAGGTGGGCGGTGGATGTGGGGAAGCTCTGTGCTAGTAAATGAAACAGGAATTGTTTTAACATACAAAAGCTGTCTCTTGCCCCAGAATGGGAGAAATATGAGAGATGCAACATTTGAGTATCCACAGCCCACCTACACTCCTCAGGAATGAGAGCATTATCACTGTAATTGGTCAGGACTCAGCTCATGCCCAAAATCCCACAGTAACGATGCTGGCATAGAACAACCTTGGGCAGGAAACTTCAGGTTGTCTGAGCAAACCTACGAGGCTAAACATAAAGCATGCAGCTCAGCTTCAGTCACTGACCTCCTTTTGACACTCTTCTCCCCAGGATAACGAACATTAAGCACTAATAAGAGGCATGCAGGCACAACCCGAGGCATGTGTCTAAAGCTGTGGGCTTTGACTTAACTTTACTGCTGTTTGCTGTTCCTAACAGATCCAAATGCATACACCTTCCCCAGAACCACGGCCCTGACCTCAGTGAGCTCATTAGAAAATGCTCTCCAAGAAGGAAGACGCGACCTGCCCTTGAGCACAGAGCCCTACAACTGGTGCTAGGACACAAGCATGGGGCTCTCGGTGGACAACTTCCTTTTTCCATCTCTTCGAGAAGCCTGATTCATAGATCTCTGCACACTAAGACTCGTCACTTCTGAAGGCAGAAGACCACAGCTGCAGCAAACAATAACTCCAACAGCAGGAAGGAGTTCTAATGGCATCTGAACAACATATTTTTAATCCTAATTTCCCAAAGGGCATTTACTCCTCCATAAACAATAGCAAGATTCACAAAAACAATTAAATACCTGATGGATCATTAACTAAAGTCAGGCAGGCATCTGATGCCTACTTGCCATTAGGTAAAATCCCAGTTAGGATTAAGACTTCACAGAATTCTGGAACTGTAGGGGTTGGAAAGGGCCTCAGGAGAGCTCACAGTGCAGCCCCACGGAAGCAGGTTCTCTACTGCAAGTTGCACAGAAAGGCATGAGCAAACAGCCTGCTGTGCTGTGAGCACACCGTACAGAAAGGAACCCAGACAAAGACAATGCCACCAGTTGGTATTGCATGAGAGCAATATTAGGACAACAAGGTTTTTCTAAGTGTCAGAAAACATAAATACTTCATGAAAAATGGATTATTGAGAATATGGTAAATATGTCATCTTTTTATTTTCCCTCATCTATCACCGCCACAAAGGGCAGTCGGGGAACGATGAGGGGTGATAACGATGCAGGCCCAGCCCGGTGCCCAAAGGCACGCAGCCCTGCGCTGTGAGCTCACCGGCCAAGGGCTGTGACAGCAGCGGAGATGGCTGTGAGCTCACGGAGCCTCCCTGCAGAACCCGGGGCGCGGCACAGCCCGGCATCACTCGTGCCCGGACTCCGGTCGAGCGCGGCAGCGAGACTCGGAGGCGCGAACGAGAGACTCGGTTTGGGCCGTGCTGCGGGGCTGCCGGCGGCAGTTCCCGGCGCTCAGCCCGCGGCATCGCCAGCGTTCCCCCGGCCCTGCCCGGCTCGGGCGGCCGGGGCCCCGCGGGGTGCGCTCGCGGCAGCGGAGGTGAGCGGTGCGGGGACGCGGCCCCGGGGCGGGCGGCGGGGAGCGGGGCCGGGGCTTCGTGCGGAGGGAGCGGGGCGTCGCCGCCGCCGCCGCCCGGGGACGGCGAGTGACCGCGGCCTCTCCTCTTTCGCAGCTCTGACGGCTCCGGCCCGCCGAGGGGAGCGGCTTTCCCGGCTCGGCTCTCCCCGGCCCACCGCACGCCCGGGGCCATGGAGCTGCCCTCGGACTGGACCTGCCCCGTCTGTGGGCGGAACCGGGCCGAGGCGGCCTACGTGACGCCCTGCCGGCACCAGCTCTGCTTGGGCTGTGCGCTGCGCTGGGCGAAGCAGCATCGCACCTGTGCCGTGTGCAAGGAGAACATCGAGGCCGTCCGGTACGCGGTGCAGGCGGAGGAGGATTTCCTCGCGTGCCCCATCCCGCAGCCTGCAGGGCGCTCCGAGGACGAGCAGGAGGAGGAGCAGGGCTCTGCAGAGCCGCAGCTCGAGGCTCCCGAGCACAGCTTCCCAGCCGAGACCTGGGCGGACTTCTTCCGAGGAGATCCGGGGGACCTCGAGCCGCTGCTCCGCTGGATCCAGCAGGAGCTCGAGGACATCATCGGAGATGAGTGGTGGACAGTGGCTGCGGCGCGGGCTGATATCATGCACCTGCTGTGCCTGTTCGGGCTCGACGAGGACACCCTGAGCCTGAACTTGGAGTCGTACCTGGAACACCACACAGGTCGTGTGTTCGTGGCGGGGCTCATCGACACCGTTACGGCCCTGTACGGCCCAGAGCTCCGCCGGCAGCAGGACAACCAGGCTGCCCGTGAAACAGGAGGGCAGGACGGCCCCGCGGCCACCCCCAGCCCCACCTCCCCGCAGGAGCCTCCTGCCCCCGGCCCCAGCCGCTCCACCAGCCCTGCAAGCCCCGGCGCCGAGCGGCTCCCTGGCGTCCCTCACGGGGGGCCCGAGCCCCGACCCGCCGCCCCCGTGTCCCCGCAGGAGCCGCAGGAGCAGCCGGGGCAGGCGGCGGCAGCGGGCCCCTCCGCCCAGGGCACGGACCACCAGCCTGGGGGGCCCCGACGCCCCCGGAGGAGGAGGGCCAGCAGCTGCCCCCCGGATTTGCCCCCATCCCCCAAGAGGCGGCGCTAGGCTGGCACCCACTGTGGTGCTGAGCACGGCTCGCGGCTTGGGAGGCCATCAGTGATCTTGGTATAATTTTAGAGACAATTAAACAACAAAAAATTATTCTTATTACTGTTCTCAGTACCATACATTTGTCAGAAAGGGATTTTAATAAAAAAAAAGTACTAACACACATTGCAAAAAAGAACCCAGGCCCTTCTGAACGTTCCCTACGTGGCAATCACACCTGGTGCTTCATGTCTCACAGCTACCTCAAGTTTTCTGGATAACTCAGCACAAGGTGCACACAGTGCATTGATGCAGAGTGAGCTGCACCCACTCCTACACGCTGACTACTGGGGGAGACGGGAGGAACAATACAGCAGTTTCTGCTTCATTTAAGTCTCCCTTTTAACATCCTGCACAGATGTCTTTCCTAGGCAAACGGAGGGGAGAAGATACTGGAATTGCCAATTATAGAACATTTAAGTAACCCTAAACAGGCGGAGTCACGTAAACAGCATAATCTTTCCCCTGGAAAATTCCAGTTGCATCTTAATTAAGGCCGACAACGCCGGAAGGTAAACTAATGTTATACCAAAGTAATGTAGTGTCCTGCCCTGTGTTCCGGCCCAAGTTGTCAGTTAGGATAAATACCAAGAGCATTAAGGCCACTGTACTTCACAATCAGAAATAGCTTTACAGCAGTTTTCAAAGGATGTAAAACTCAGTGAATGGTGACCAAATATAAACGAAGATTAATTCTAGCGAAACCTTCACAATTACAGGCCGTGGGGACAATAAATATGTGATCAGTGGTGCAAGAAGGTTAATGAAAGGAATGACTGCTGGAAAGAAAAAGACTTCTGAAAGTGTGTGCTGTCACATCAGAGGTGGATTAGATACAGAAAACCAATACAAAAGCAGAGAAAAGTGTCACTGCTAGAAATTAATCAAACAACGTGTGCTGATTTTTCTAATGCGGCGGGTAAAGCTGACTTTGAGACTCCAGACACACTGAAGAGTGGCCTTTCCAACCTACTAAACCCACAGCAGGTTGCTCCACAAGTCTAACAGCTTCAGAGCAACTCAGTGCTATAAACAGCAGCTTAACCCCACCAGGCAGCACTGTCTTCTGGCCCCAGGAACAGCAGGTTGGTGAGGAAGGCACCCACCTCCTCTGCACACCCTGCATGCAGCCAGTTCCAAGTAAGGAAGGTCGAAGCAGGCACTGGCTGCACCTCTGTGCCTTGGAGAGCAAGAGCTGCAAGGGAGAGCATGGAAGGGGTGTGAGTTCACCAGCCAGCGAGGAGCTGGCAGGGTTTTGTCCCTTTTTCATTAAAGAGAACTATTAAACTTTAAGCCTTGCAACACAAGAAAACAAGCACTGTCTCTGATGTTATCTTCTGCTGGAAATTACTGGTTTCTCTGATCATTCCTAATGGAGCATGAAATCATCATGGGATTTTGATACTTTCTTCCTGTCAGCCTCAGTACCCCACGTGAGGGCAGCTGTAGGTCCAGCCTTGGCTCTCTGCCACAGCACGGATGGGCTCCTCTCACTCCAGGCCAGTTTTCAGGCAGCCACGCTCACTCACATACCGGTCAGAGCAGGCCCCGGCTTCCTGGCATCACCAGGCCCTACAAAGCAGTGCCTAGCTGCTATTTTAAGGCTCCGGTTGACTCAGCGTTGGACATTAAAGCTATCACTGACGTACCAGGCAGCTTGGCGCCACACTGCAGGGAAGTCAAGGCCACAGAACCAGGAGCAGATGAGGCTGAAGCCTACAGTTTCACCCCTGTAGCAGGTGTCAGCCACGCAAAGCTGACAAACTGTAACATCTCAGCTGGGCAGAACACAGTGTGGAAGGCAGCCCCTGCACCCCATTACTGATTGTGCAGGTACACATTCTTCTACAGCAACACGCAAGAGAAACAAATAACAGATCAGGGAAATTGAGCAATTCCTACGCCTGCTCCGGAGTGCAAACAGCTAGAGAAACGTCTTCCTTGCAGTTTAAGTCAGGCACGGCACTCACCTTGGCAGCCCAATTTTTACCCTAGAACAGCATCATAGCATCTCCGCTTTTTTCAGAAGGACGGGGCTAAAAAGCAACCAAGGCTCTGGGCCCAAACAGCTGTGTTTCAGGAGCAGCTCCCGAAGAAGTACGTGTTGTAAAAAGTAATGCTCAGAAACGGCGCTGCCATTTACAGGCTATGCTCAACTAGTTTAACTGATGATGGGAATACAGCAAGTGCTGCAAACGCAGACTGCAGCTCTGCTTCTGTCCTGCACTGCCCTGAAGGACAGGACATGACCTGAATTCACAAAGGAAAACTTAGGGAGGTAAGTGCAGCTCTCTGAGCTGAAATCTAGCCAAAACAGCAGCACACAAGGCATCACACACATGGTGTCAGCACAATGGCAAGCCAGGCTTTTTTTTGTTTTGTTTTAGTAGAGGCATTTAATATTTTTTTTTTTTCCATGAATGCCAGCTTGAGGCTAATAGTGATCAAAGCACATGAGGCTATGAGTCAGAAGGATGCTTCTGAAGTTGTCCCTGACACACACCACCGTTCTGATGTACCAGAGCCCTAACACTGCGTCAAGATAGCAGGTCTGGCACCCAGCAGCCTGCAAAGGAAGAAGGAAATGACAACTGCATTTGGTTGCCCTTAGCCCAGCCACCAGCTAAGGAACCAGGATTATTAATTGCCACTTTTCTCCTCCTCTTCCGCCAGCAGGTAATTCAGCTGGCAAATTAAACACATTTCAGAGAAAAAAAAGGAGCCTCAGAGAAAAATCAGTTTGTGCCGATGGGGAGGCAGAGAACAGCTGAGGTGAACACAGAACAGCTGCAGGCTGAACCCAGGATACACCTGCTGACCAGTGGGATGGCACTGAAAACATAGGACAGAAAGAGGAACAGGAGGAGGGAGGCCAGGTGATGCTAACTGAAGCGTGAAAGGATATGGAACTGTAACAACCCCACAGGCATCTCCCTGCTATGCTGCTCAGCAAGCATTTCTCGGTATTTCAGTGAGGTGCATAAGCTCTTAGATGTACAGTAGCTGCAAGCAGCTTCTTATACACAGGCTGCAGTTCCCAAGGACTCAGCAGTAAAGCTGTGGGCAGCAAATACTCATTTACAGGCCTGCAGCCTGCCTTAAAAGATGCCTTATGGACAGCTCTAAGGACATATCAAGTCTGTGCCTAAAATGGCATGTTGTAGCACACACAGCACTGCAAGGCTCCCACCTATGCTGACGTGCAGGATGCCAGCAGTTACCTTGGGCAAGAGGCCCAGATCTCACTCTTCAAGGGAAAGCTCTCCCTTTCTTCCTGATCAGACACAGATGGCCAGGGATGGATTATTTCTAGGAACACATTAAGGACGACAACTATCAGCCACGATGGAGCTCACATGAGGTATGAAAATAACTCAGACTGCCCTTCCCACTCAAAGACAAGCTCTTTGATATTCAGAAGTTTAAGCTCCATCCTGACAGCTTTCCTTCCAACAATTCACCATAGCACACAGGCTGTGGCACCCATCAGGCCAGCTCTGTGACTGGCTCTGCCAAATCATGGGCAGCTATCATCTCCAAGCAACTCTCCACTCCCTTGTTCCCCCAGCTCTGGAAAACATTAATGACATTCTCATCAAAATCAAGTACATGATTTCCAAGCAAATCAAAGTGCACTTAGATACAGGTAAATTAATTCCATGGATGCATTTAACATCAACTTCAGACAACCCCAAAGCACAAGTCACACCGTTCATGAAGACAGCAGCATCATACCTGATCACATCTGGTTCTGTGCCCTCGTTCTTGTAAGATGCCTGAAGTTGTTTCTGTCGTGTGAGAAGGTCATCCACCAAGTTCTGCCTCCTGTCTCCCTCCAGCTGGGTGCTAATCGACTCGGTTAAGGAGCACATTTCAAAGCATGGAAAATCTTAAAAGTTGAGTATCAAATCAAACCTGCTATACGTTCTTAAAATAAATCCTGATCAAAAAAATAACAAGAGCAACTGGAGCTGTAAGAAAAGGCTGTAGCACCTAACAGAAGGACAGGCCACGTCCCTCATGACACCTACTTTCCTTCAGAACACTTCTCCAACGGTCATACATTTCCAAGACTAAGATGCATGCAGTGACTGCAGTGATCTCCTGCTCATCCTCTGAATGCAATCAGCAAAACCAAGAGGCTCTTTACTGCCAAGTTAGCATAGGCATTACAAATTCGACCTGCACCATCATTCTCCTGTCAGTTACTACTCAGAAGTGCTCTGCAGCAGATGGGCTCTGTAACACCGGCAGCACACAGCAGCGTGCTCAGGGAAGGGTTTGCCCTATCCTGTTGTGATTGAACCTGGGCAGGCTCCAAAAGAGCAGAGCTCTGAGGTTCAGCAGGGTGCAGCACATCTCATCTGCCAGGAGCTGAGACTCATACACCACCCAGCTGAGCAGCTCCCCACTAAGTCATCAGTAAAACACCAACAGTTTCCTTCAAGCAGTTGTTTCCATTTGCAGTTCATCAATGCGACACCCTGAGAGCCACTGGGACGGAAGGAAAACAATTTGTTCAGCAAGTCTGAAACAGAAGATGCCCAAAGTTCTGCAGTTCTGACAGGTGACACACTTGTTTTAATTCATCTCAGAGACATTCCAAAGGACTGCTACCTGTCTTCCAAGCACTGCTGCACAGATGGTGCAACAGCCATGCTGGTTTCTGTACGTTATCTGCCACAGCAGTAGCATTCATTCGCCCTGAAGCACTCCCTTGACGTGAAAGTTTTACCCAGGGCCACAGCTCAGCATTCAGAGGCCTCACGCTGTGAAAGGATTTCTTCTACACTAAGCTTGAAATTAAACATCCATCCATTCAACCACCAGACACACCTCTGGGGGGGATGGACGTGCTTCCAAATCCCTACACCTCACCATGCAACAAGAAGAGCGAATCCAAGCCAGGCCATGGGGCAACGCTCCTATAAAAGAAGCCTGGGATTCATAAGATATATTTTAAGGCATATCGACAATGTTTTGCAGATGCTTTGCTTCTTGTGCACACTGGGGCTGGCACTTCCCTGCCCACAGCCCAAACATGGCTTCACCCCTCCAGGACTAAAGTCAGCCAACACCACAGCCAAGAGAAAATAACAGCAGAGGGGGTTTTCTGCTAGGTAGGTGAACGTGGCTCATGGGAGAGCTGTGCCATCAGCAGCTGCATGTGATGATTCAGAGCACCTGAGCCAGCCCTGTGCCCACTGCACCAGAGGTGCCCAGGCTCTCAATCCTTTCCACAATACAGCTGCAATAAAAATATTACCCACCATTAACTGACAAAATTGTAGCGAAAAAAAAAACCTTCCCAAAATTGAACAAGAAAAAAAGAGCCTCCTTGCAATTACAGCACGTTTTCAGACCCTCTCCTACAACAGGGCAAGAGCAATGAGATGCTGTTGTGCAGATACATCTGGTGCGTTGACACAGCCCGGAGCAGGGAGTCCTTCAGCTGATCAATCTTCTCTTTGAGATTCTGCAGTGATGACCTGATGATCACATTGAGCTGCAGGAAAAGAAAGAGATTCTTTGTCTGAACTGTATTTGCATCACATTAAATGCTATTGCATGCAGGTAACAATGCATTTCCTTTCAGCTACACGGGTGGGAAGGATCCTATACTGAACCAGCCCACCTCAAAGCCCCAAAGAGAACACCACAGTTAATCATTTTACATGCTTACAACACGAGATAAGTACAACTAGTTTCACAAACACTGTTCTAATGCATCGATGCTGTTTAATATGGAGAGTTTTCTTTCAAGTCTTTCTAAACAGATTCCTTTATATGGGCAAAGTATTTCAGCACATTTTAATATTTTCCAGCTCATTTTCCAGTCCTTTCCTCTGATCTCCAACACAAATAAAGGCGCCAGCTCCCGCTGCCACTGGGTTTCTTTCCCAGCTCCCACGAGGGAGGGAAGCTGACTACAGGTTCAGACATTCCCTCCACTGAGTTCTTCCAGACTTTGAGGATCCCACAGGCATTCAGCTTCCCCCAGTGCCACCTCTCAGCACCATCTGTGACACCTGCCCATCTCCCTGCCCATGGCTCGGGTGCATCTGTTCCTACTAGAAATGCAGTTAAGCTGTTTGCATTTTTCCCTGCTCTGAGCAAGCTGAGATTTCTGGGAAGCCTCCTCCTTTTTCCTCCACTCCATCCCAAATTAAACCAGCATTGTCTTGGGCAATGCCTACAGAGAAAGGCATCAGCACAGCAACAGAGCAGTTCGAGCAAAAGGCCTGGACTCCATCAGAGCACTCAGTGGCTCGGATCTGCTCTCCACCACCTCCAAACAGAGACAAAACGCACAGCCACACTGGTGCAGTTTGAGAGCACACAACCAGACAGCTACAAAACCCACACTCAAACATAGCCAGGCACTAATGCAGCATTCCCAAAGCCACAGTGGGGCATGAGAGATTTCAGGAAATTCAACGTGCAGCATACCCTTTAGCTCTGCAGTATGGTAATGAAACATCTTTCCATTTCACATCTTCATTTCCTGCACTCATATGCAGTCGGAGAATGCTGCACTTAATGAGCACAACAAAGGAACAAAGGTATATGCGTCCAAGAATGCCATCCAGCACACAGATTGCTGCTACTCTGGCCAGAAACTGTGCTACAAACAGAATCACAGAATAGCCAGGGTTGGAAGGGACCTCAAGGCTCATGAATCTCCAAACCCCCTGCCACACGCAGGGCCACCAACCTCCACATTTAATACCAGCCCAGGCTGCCCAGGGCCCCATCCAACCTGGCCTTGCACACCTCCAGGGACGGACGGGGCATCCACAGCCTCTCTGCACAGCCTGGTTGCACTTCCATTAAGAGGAAAAAAAAGAAAGAAAAAAAGGAAGTTTTAAGATCAGCTCAATTGAGCAGAGGTCACAGATCGTAAGAGCTGCCTTGGAATCATTCCATGCAGGTTTCTCTTCCCCTTTTCAAATCTTATGCTCTAAGTTTACTTAGCAATTATCAACGGGGCTTTTTTTAGCCATGCTAATGGCAAAACAGGATGAAAATAAGAGCTTGGTCACGTTCTCCCTGCCAGGCAAATGCTGCACACACTTTCACGCTGCAGAAGCACTCAGCTGTCATGGAATGCAGCACTGCTCAGCCGTGAATTTCTCAACATGCGTTTCTGTTATGAAAACAACTCTTCATTGTGGGACACTTGTTTGCAGTTGAACCAAACACGGCCAAATATTCACCTTTAACTGCTAATGGATTAAGTGAAACTGCAATCGGAAAACACCGGGCATGGAAGGAATGATGTTGTGAAGAAATAAGCATAATGTTTCCACAACACAGAACCCGGAGGAGCTGCGCTACCAGAAAGGCTTCAAGCAGCACCAATACAACTCGTGTGTGCTTTTTTTTGTTGTTGTTTTCCTGGAACATCGCAGACCCCAACGACTCAAACCAAAGAACTTTGTCCTCTATAAACACAGCACAATTAAGCAGCACTCTTACTGCCAGCCTCCTACTGCTCCAACACAGCAGTTTAAACACAGAAACGCCTTCCTTTTGAAAGCAGAGTTCAATCGCCACCATCAGGCGCTGCAGCTGGAGAAAACACCCCGATCACTCCCAAAGCCTCTTTTCAATTCGTGCCAAATTCGAGTCCCTCGTCAGAAGCACCGATCGTTGCGCAAAGCCCACACAGCGTTCCTCAAAGCAATGCTTCAATGCTTCAAAGAAAGCATTTCCAAAACGCGACTCTGTGACGACAGCTGGCAGCACGGAGGCCATCTCGCGTCCTATTAGAGCTGCGCCGTAAAGAAGGGCCCCCAGGCCGAGCGGGGCCCCGCGCCGTACCTTGGCCGAGCTCTCCCCGTTGCGCCGATGCCGGCTGCGCTCCTGGATCCGCTCGGCCACCTCCTGGGCCAGCTGGCAGGCGGCGTCGTACTGCGAGAGCCTGAGGGACGGGACGGGGAACGGCGTCAGCGCGGCGGGGCCCGGAACCGCCACCGGACGGAACGCGGAGCCTCGGCCCAAAATCCCGAGGCCGCTCCCGGCCCCCCACAGCCCAGCCCAACCCAGCCCCCGCCTCAGCCGGCCCTCACCAGGGGTCCGGAGCCATCACAGCCAACCGGAAGTGCCACTACCGCCCGGAAGTGCCTCTACCGCCCGGAAGTGTCCGCGGTCCCTCTGTGTCATGTGACAACGGCGGCTGCCGAGGCTCAATCCCCGCCGGCGCGAGCGTCCAGTGCGAGGGGGCGGGGAGGTAAAAGTGCGTGCAGGTGTACAGCGCTCTGCTGCCGAGGTGCGCGACGAAGCGGTGAGCGCTTTGTGGTGTAAGATGCGCAGTGCACAGATACAGTGGTGCACGGCACTTGGGGCGCAGTGCAGAAGTGCAAAGGTACATAAGTGCACGGTATGCGGTGCGGAGCTGCACAGCGGCCGGGTGCGATGTGGGGTACAGATGTGCGGGGCGCGCGGCGCGCAGCACAGAACTGCAGAGCTGCAGGTTGCAGAACTGCGTACTGCGTTGTGCAGTGGGGTGTGTTGTAAATGCACAACGATCCATGAGGACAGAGATGCACAATATAGGGCACAGAGGTCCACAGCTGAAGGGGTTTAAGGGTGAGCAGGTGCACAGCTTAGAGGTGCTGAGTGTGTGGCACACGGTGCAGCGTGCACAAAGCAAGGCTGTGGATGTACACAGGGACGTGGTGCAGACGTGCACAGCACTGTGCACGGTGCACAGCACAGGCCTTTTGCAGCCCTGGCAGTAATGCAGCTGAATGCCATGTGCACAGCAGTGGTACCAACCCCCATCCCCTGTCCTTGGCTGCCTCTTCCAGGGGCGACATCCCCGTGGCATGGGATCCCTGTGGCTGGATGTTGGCAGCACATGGGCATTGCTATTGCAGTGGTGTTACTATGGCTTTGGAACTAAAGGCACACAGCCCCAGGGTGCCCAATGCCAGGCATGGGGACAGCAGCGAGGAACAGCCAGGGCAGAGGAGGGGTGAGGATATCCCAGGCTGTGAGACCCCAGGCCTTGGGGCACAGCAATGGGGAGGAGTGCACAGTGACATAGGCCTGGGGGTGAGGCCATGTGCTTCTTCCCTGTCTTCCAGTGGGCAGAGATTTGCTGTCATTGAATTTTGCTCCAAAGAAATGTCCCCAGGAGCAGGCAGGGCGTGATGCTGAGAAGCCGTGATGCTGCCTTGTTGACGCTGTCAATATTTGGGCTGCGGATGGCTCCTGAGGGCCCTGCAGTAAAACCAATGGCTCCAGAAATTACAGCAGCCCTCTTCCAATGCACATGGGCACTGGGGCTCAGTGTCCCATTTGCCACCATCTTATGATGCATATCACTGCCAATATGAGCAGGTGCCCTAAAAGTAGTGACAGCATGATAGTGATGTTTTATTGGCCTCGTTATATGGGATTATTGCTGCATTTAGCCCAGTATGACACAACTTGCATCACAACTATAGACCCAGCAGGTCCTGCTATGGGCACCCTGACCCCCCCATCCCAACCTGACACCCAGCACCAGGCTGGCAGAGTCTGGGTGCAGGCAGCTGCATCAAACATTGATGCCCCAGCTGTGCAGCTCAGCCGGAGGCAGCACAGCACACTCACTACATATTTAATTTGTTTCTCCATTAAAAACTCATGGAGCAGCAAAGCCATATCGCGTGGTGCCCAACTCGCTCCCATCTCACATCCTGAGATTTCTGAAGGAAGAAGATTCTGTGCTTAAAAGAATCCTGCTGTTAAGTGTTGCCTGAATGATGGATCCTCCTCGCCGTGTGCTCCTTTCAGCTGCAATGGGGCTCCTCCTCAAACTCAGCTCTTATGCCCATGCCTGCAACACAGGTTGTAATCCTGCAAAGCACTTTGAGGCAGAATCAATCAGCAGCAACAAATGGGAGAGGATGGAAATGCTGAAGTATAGAAACACGCCTGGAATTGTGGTATTTTGAGGCTCCACGGAGCAGCTGCTGAGCTGGGAGGTCTGGCAGGGGATGCTTGAATGTGCTTTGCCATCCCTTTACCCAGGACAGTGCAGTGGTGCCCCATCCATGGAGGTTTCCCAGGCTGTGGATGGGCCCTGGACAACCTGAGCTGGAGAGAACCAGCCCACGGAGGAGGTGGGGACCGTGAGGACCCTTCCAACCCAACCATGCAGTGGAGTCTCTGGTTTTGCTTTGTCTCCAGATGCCCCCAGTGCTTTCACCCACTGATGCTCCCCAGTGCTGCATGTGACACTGCCCAGCCAAGAGCAGCATGCTGCCAGAAGGGCATCGTTTTGTCCTCGCAGCCCCAGCCCCTCTCAGCAGTTGGCTCCCAGCCCTCACCGTTCACATGCTCCAATTTCTCACTCCCTGAGACCCGCACCATCCAGCAGGAAGCGGTTCCCAAACCATTTACCATGTTTATGCTTTCTCAGCTCAAGGACGGTCCTCCCTTATCCCCTCACCCTCTCCCTGCCCGGGAGTGAACATGAAATAAAGGTTATCCTTGGGGAGAAAAACAAACCACGCAGTTCAACAGCTGTGTTGCTGTTTTGATACCTATCTCATCCCCTCCCCAGCCTCGGCGCACCGCTGGGCACAAAGGGGTGACCGAGGCGCAGAGCTGCTCCACCCCTCGTGCTATTTACACCAAACACGTGCCCCGTGTGCAGAAGGTGCATTAAAAGCGGGGCAGCAGCTGCAGCGGGGCAGCAGCACCGGGGCTGTGTGCAGTGTGTGCATGCTGCAGGTGGGGCTCAGCTTGCCCTGTGCCCCCGAAGGGGCGGCCAGAGCCTTCCCTGCACAGCTGGATGGGGATGCTGGGGACGGCGATGGCAGCAGCACTGCACAAGGTGGGTGAGCACCATACTGGGGATGGGGCCTGGGCTGCTGATATGTCCTGAGCCAGGTGCCTGCAGCCGGGTGGGCTCAGAGTGTGGTGCTACTTATGGCTTCTCTCCTACTGCAAGTACAGGGGCAATTTGGGAATCATAGCAGCACCCAGGGGTACAAATAACCCTGCTGCATCCCCATTGTTTTAGCCTGGTTTTTATGGCCGTAAGCATGGCTGTGCTGAGTGTTCTTGTGTGACCCCCTGTGTTTTCAGCCTGGTGCTCTGCCTGAGTCCCAGCCTGGCTGCTCAGAGCAGCATGAGATGCTCTGCAGAGCTGAGCTGGCTGTGCTGGCTGGGCTGAGCCTAAGCAGGAGCCGAACTGAGCCAGCACGGTGCGAGCAGATTCGGACCTGGCCCCCTGCATGTGGCACTGTGGCTGTGCCGTGCTGTCCCTGGGTGCCCCCCCTGAGTTCAGAGCAGAGAGGTTTATCTCTGCACAAATCCACAGGTGGGATCCGAATCTCTCCGCCCTCTCCTGGCTGAGTGAGCACATCTAACATGATATACTGGAGAATTAAGGTGTGTGCTAATTGGCTGCATCCTTCTGGCTATTAGCTGCCTGGCACAACTCCGATGGAAAAAAGCGGGATGTGGGGCTGAGCCCGACGGTAACACCAAGGAAAATACCTCTGCTTTCTCCCTAGGAGGAGCTCAAACCCTGCTCACGGCGCTGTTCTGAGTGCAGCCATTCCCACTTCCAGTGCTTTTGCATACAACGGTGCCGGGCCGCCTGGCTGGGCTCACGGGGACATGGGGAACAGGGACCTGCTGGGGGCTGAGCCCCCAAGGGACGGGGGCTGTTCTGCCCTTTCCCTTAGCAGGGAGAGGTATTGCTATAGGAGGAGGTGCTCCGGGACCTCACCGGGCTGTGCCAGGGTGGCACTTCTAGTGGGGTGCCGTGTGGGATTAAAGCTCTTTGTCCCACAGTGGTGCTCAGCTCCTCTCCCATCACCGTCGTGGTCACACCGGAGGATGACACGTGGCACATCAGCGGCTCCTGTGCGGGCGGTGGGCCATTCGTGGACTGGGACCAGATGCCAGAGGTGGAGCAGCAGGCAGATCCCCCCGAGGACACGCTCAGCCGGCCTCCCAAGGAGCTGAAGAAGCTGGCGAGGGAGGGCTGCTGGGCTGCCAGCCGTGCGCTGAGGGCTGCAGCTTACCAGCACCTGTGCCAGCGCGTCGCCTGCCGCCTCGTCACACCCGATGCCCTGGTGTATGGGGACGTGGCTGCACGGCTCTTCGGAAAGCACGGCGCCAGCTCCCACCCGCTGCCCGACTTCCTGGCAGGCTGCTCCCTGCCCACGTACTGCCTCAACATGGACGGGGTCACGGCGCTGAAGAAGATCCTCATCTGCGTTGGCAACCTGTTCCCTGACATCACCTACAGCCCGGCGCTGCCTTCGTTGGTTGCTTTGCTGCTGCACTACAGTGAGGATGAGGCTCAGTGCTTCGAGAACATCTCCCGCCTCATCGCCAGCAATGCCCCCCACACCAGCTACATCGACCAGTCCTTCCTGGCTCATCAGGCCTCCTGCATGACGTTTGGGGACCTGGCCAACAAGCACTGCCCGGCAGCACACAAGCTGATAGCCAGCACGTCTGAGAACGTCTTTGAGGTGTACTCTGAGTGGCTGTCGTGGCTCTTCCGCGACCTCCCCTTCAGCTACGCCATCCGTGTGTTTGATGTCTTCCTGCTGGAGGGGCAGAAGGTGCTGTACCGCATCGCCCTGGCCCTGCTGAAGCAGTACCGGCTGTCGGTGAGCTCTGCTGAGCAGGAGGGGACTGACACCAAGGCAGAACTGCAGGTCTTTGTGCAGAACGTTGCCCAGCACGTCACTGTTGACAAACTCCTGGAGAGAGCGTTTGGCATCCGGCTGTTCTCCCGCAAGGAAATCTGGCTGCTGCAAATGGCCAACAGGAAGGCACTGATGGAGAGGGGCATCACCATGGTGCAGGGCAGGTAGGAAGCCGGCCTGTTTGCCCACAGTGCCAATGATGCTCTTGGGGCAAAGTGGGTGAAAAATGGGTTCTAGTGGAGATGGAGCACAGGGGAGCTCCAGCGTGTCCCTTGGCTGTGGTTATGCTGCACAGACACTGCTGGGATCGTGCACCCCCTGTGGCACATAACGGCACATTATGGGTTCACCAGCTGAGCACTGACACACTCCTCTCTTTCACAGGCAGTCCTTCCACCTGGCCGTGGACATGCAGAGCTTCAGCTCCAGCATTGTATCAGCTCAGGAGATGCGCATCATCTGGTCC